GCCGCCCCAGCAGCCCCCGCCGCGCCCCTGCACAGGCCCGACGCCTACCCGCCCTCGAGTCACAACGGCGGCCTTGGCGCCAGGACGTTGAATAGATAACACTGGGCCGGTCCTCCCATCCGTGTCCCCTCGCCCCACGCGGACGCTGCGGGGGCCATGGCCGCCTGACCTCAGCCCCGGGGGGACACAAGCCGGGGATCCCTGACAGTTTTTCTTGCCTAAGTTATTAAAGTCACAAAAGCGCCCCCCACACACACACCTCCAGCCTCAGGCGGGGTGGTGGCGGGGAGCGGCAGTGTGGATTTAGGGGAGGGGGCTGTGATGTAAAATGTCTCCCCCCAAGAGGAGGGGGTAATCCTGGTGTGTCGTTTCCTGTTCCTCCCCACTTCCAGCCGCACCGTGCCCTTCCACCTGGGGGACACGTGTGTGTTGGCGGGAGACAGGGGCCCCCTGGGGGTTTCCCTGCTCACAGTGTCCCCAGGTCTTGGTCTTTGTGTGTGGCTCCACGCAGCCACCAGAGGGCGCTCAGAGCTGGGCTCACCCGATCGCCAACGCCCCCTGCAGGCTGTAAGAGGATGTGCAGGGAAGGGGCGGCGTCCCAGGACTCCCATCTGGGGATGCTGGGCCCACAGCCTCTATGTCACATTGTATGTGTGCACTTGTCCAATGCCACGTCCCATGTCTGTGTGGTTATGTGTGCGTGTGTGTGTGTGTGTGTGTGTGTGCGCGCGCGCGCGCGTATGTGTGTATGTGCGCGCACGTATGAATGCCCCGGTGAGAATGAGTGCAAGCCCTCCGCCCCCTGACCCATAGCTGAGTATCTCCCCAGCCAGAGGCCAGCCTCCCCCGCCCCTGCCAGTCTTCCTCGGTTCCTGCCTCCAGCCGCCCCCGCCGGATTTTGAAATCTCGCGAGACAAAACTAGTACTGTAAGATAAATTTTTTTGTACTGTATTTATTGTGTATAACGATTTTTTTAAAGGAGAATTCTGTACATTTAGAACTCTTGTAAATTAAAAACCAATCCTTTTTTTAAAACTGTACTGACGGCCCCGCTGCCCCGTGACTTTTGAGTTTTTTTGTGTGTGGGGGGAGGGGGTCGTGGAGCCCGGGAGTTGGGACTAAACCTGGGGGGGGGAGAGGGCTGCCAGGGTTTGTTCCACGCATGTTTATTGAGCACCTTAATTTGTCGCCCACCGCCGTGGTGACAAATACCACCCAGCGGGTGACTTAGAACAACACGGACGGGCTGTCTCTGTTCTGGAGGTTCGGAGTCCAGGGCCGCGATGAGTCCGACCCAGCCTCTGAGGGATAATCCGTTCCGGGCCCTGGTAGCCGCAGGCGCAGTAGCTCACTCCCATGACGTCCTTCCTGCCTCCCGGCAGCTTGTCGCTCCTCATTTATAAGGACCCCACTCATACAGGACTAGCCCTCCCCCCTCTTTCAGTCTGACCAGTGAGGCAAACTGATCCCATCTTTTTGAGGGGAGTACACCATTTCAACAACCCACGTGTACAACTCAGTGACGTTGGTTCAACGCGATGACGTCTTCAAAGACTGCCTCCAAATAAGGACGCATACACAGGTGCAGGGGTTAGGACTTTGACGGACCTAGTTTTGGGGGGGCGGGGAGGATAGAGTTCAACCCGTAACAGGCCCTGTATGGGCACAGGGAGTCTGATAGGGAACAAGGCAGCTAGACGTCTAGTCCCTGTCCTCACCAGCAGACTTCTTAGTGGGGGTGGCAGGCTGTGTCACATCCCGTGAAGAAGAGCCAAGCAGGGTGAGGGGCTGGGCGAGGCAGCTGGGAGGCCACGGGACACCTGGGCGGGTTCTTGGGGCAGAGTTTGGAGAGGAAAGCAGGCGGTTGGTCTCACCCACTGACCCGTTCAGCAGGTGCCTCGCGCGGTGAACAGCCTGCCCTGCTGCACACTGAGGCGCGCATGGCCGCGTGGGAAGACGTGATTTCTTTGAGGAAAGAGCATGTGAGCAGAGACTCGGGAAATGAGGGTTCTCTTGTGCCATCAGGGGGATTCTGATGCTGGAAGCGACCCCTTGTGACAGAGTAGAAGAGTAGAACTGCCCCAGAGTTTTCTGGGCCACTGTTATGTTGTCAGGCTTTTCTTCTGTGGAGCCATTGGGTGGGTTCAAACCACCAACCTTTCCGTTAGCAGCTGAGCACTTAATTATTACTCCACCAGGGCTTTTTTGAAATGAGGGAGTCATGAGGATATCGGGAGGAAGCACCGCCGCAGAAGAAAGAATGGCCTGTGCAAAGGCCCTGAGGCAGTAGTGCACCTTAAGGGTTGAGGAACAGTGAGACCAGAGTGGGTGGAGCTAAGGGAGACAGGGTCGCAGGTGAGATAGACGGGACATATAGGATTCTGTGGGCCACGGTGCCGACTTCACTTTAACTCTGAGGGAGGTGGGAGCCTTAGGCGGGTTCTGAGCAGAGACGAGTGTTAACAAGCGCCCTCTGGTGACCATGCAGGGAACAGGCTGCGAGGTAAGACCTGGAAGCAGAGAGAGACATGAGTGAACAGGAAGGGGCGTCCTCTCTGCCCCTCAAAGTTCTCATCTGTACTTTAGAGTTACTGGTGTCATTTTAACTTCATTTAGGTAATTCTTCAATAGGGCACGATGCTCAAGGCAGACTGTCTTTTTATTTATTTTTATTGTGATTTGGGGAAAGTTTGCAAAGGAAATTCATTTTCCATACAGCAGTTTATACACATTTTGTCTCATGACATTGACTGCAGTTTCCCACAATGCAACAGCTCCCCTCCCACTTCCTCCCCATAGTTACCTCTTCCCTGTGTCCTTTCCTCCATGCACTCCTGCCCCCTGAGCTGTCTCCCTGTGCAGACACAGCCCTTCTATTCTCCCATGACTGATCTCTCCAAGGAGTGTTATCTACCTCAGGTACATGTTCAGCTCATATGCCTGTCTTTTGTTTGGCTGGAACCCACAGGAGTGGGTTCAATTCCAGACCCGAAGGGCAGCTAGGGGCCATAGTCTCAGGGGTTTCACCAGGCTCTATCAGACCAGCAAACCTATTTTTCTTTTTTTTTTTTTTTTTTTAATGATTTAGAGTTTTGTTCCACATTGTTCTCTCTGTATCCGGGATCTCCTACATAGATCCCCCTTAAGTGGTTGACAGTGGTAGCCAGAAACCATCTAGTTCTTCTGGTCTCATAGTCATATAGGCTGAGGATCACATGGTGTACCAGTTGCTTGGACTAATTGTCTCCATGAATCTTTGGTTTCCTTCATTCTTCTTTGTTCTGGACGAGGAGAGAGAAACCCAATTGTTGCATCTAGATGGCTGCTTGCAAGTTTTAAGATCCAATTTCGGCTCCAGGTTCAAAAGTTGATTCCAGGCGATAGATTCAGGGATCCCTCCAATTTCATTTTTTAAAGGAAGTTTGGTTTCTAACAAAAAAAAAAAAAAAAGGCAAAGTTCTGTTTCGCAATCTTCCCCCTTTTGATCAAGATTCAGGTACTGGATTGGATCCCTGATCAAACCATTCAGTAATGGTAGCCAGGCACGATCCAGTTCTTCTTGTCTCATGGCAAAGGCGGTAGCAGTTCAGGGAGGCAGATAGACCTGCAATCCATTTCCTTTTCCAATTCCTGGATCTCCTTCCTCCCGTGTTACTCCAGGCAATTAGAGACCAATTTGCATCTTGGATGAGCTTACATCTTTATTTCTGCACACCCTGCTTCCTGAGAGCTGAGGGGCCAACAGCAAGGTGTTTGCACGTGAACCCTAGGGGAATCAGAGCCCTCCTCTCACCCTGTTCCCCTCATTCTCCGCCAAACCAAACCCACTGCCAGTGAGAAGATTCTGACTCACGGCGCTCCCAGAGGACAGTAGGGTTTCCAAGGCTGTCGACCTTTACAGAAGCATATTGCCTCATCTTTCGCCTGCAGAGCAGCTGGTGGGTTCAAACTGCCATCTCTTGCCTAGCAGCCAAACGTTTGGTTTGGACTTTGCTCTGTAAAGATTGACAGCCTTGGAGACCCTGTGGTGCAGTTCCACTCTGTCCTCTAGGGGCGCTGTGAGTTAGAATCGACCCTGTGCGCCACCAGAGTTCCTTCCTTATTCTCCAAGGAGGGGGCAAAAACTGAGTGCAACTCCTACAAAGTTAGCTCTGGGACCAAGCTTCTTGGACACCAGGTCCCAGATGCAGCAGCTCAGAGAGTGTTTTAGTTACCTGGTGCTGCTATAAGAGGAACCACAGTGAGTGACTTTAACAAGCAGAAGTGTATATGCTCACAGTTCAGGAGGCTCGGGTCAGAATTCAAGGCTTCAGCCTGAGAGGAAGTCTGTCTCCTCCGAGGGAAATCCTTGTTTCAGCTTCTCTGCCATGTTCCTTAGGGGCTCCACCTCTAGCCCCACCCCAGCTGTGCTTCTGGCTTCTGTGCCTAATCTGCTTTTGTATCTGAAAATCAAGACGCCCTAGGAGGCCCTGTGGTGCAGCAGGTAAGAGCTCAGCTGCTAACTGAAAGGTCGGCTGTTCAAACCCACCAGTTGCTCTGTGCGAGAAAGATGAAGCAGTTCACTGTGTTCACGGACTGTCTTCTCCAGTCAGTCTTTGACAGATGGAGAGGAAACTAGAAAACAAAAACCCTGAGCTTGTGGGTTGGAGCAGGGCCCCCAGAGGCTGCAAGAGAATGACAGCAGTCAGGGGGAGGCCGGGACAAAGCTCAGACCCACCAGTTCAGAAACCAGAGACAGTAAGAGAAGATGACAGTCCCCAACAATTTATGGAGTTCTCACAGCTCATCTAATGAGCAGGGCAGTGTGACAAGGGGCTTTTTCAAGCCATCGACGTCTTAGAATAACATTTTTAAAGTACATATACCGGGGCTTCCGGCAAGATGGTGGACTAGGCAGAAGGATTGCAAAGACCCTCTTCAACAAAGAAAAGGGAAACCAATTAACACAGACACAGAAGATAATCTTGGACCTCTGAGCCTTGAAGGGAAGGATACAGAATTGGACT